TTTCTTAACTAATAGATTCTGGATGGTGAGGTTCTGTTCCACGTTCAGGACTCCCAGTGAGTTCAGGCCACTGCGGTCAACCATGTTTCCCAAATCTGAGCGAGCCGTTTAAAAACACTCACGAGTCACGGCCTGCTCCTGTGCACAGTGGCATTATTATTCTGCCTCTGCTTTTTCATTTAACTCTCTGCCAGGGGGGTTGAGAAAAGCTGAAAGATGGAAGCCGGGGGAATTAAAGAAAATGAGGGTCAACTTTTCCCATCTGGTCAAGTCTTGTGTGATCTCACAGGGGTAATTGAAGAGGCTTTTCAGCAGTGAGGCTTTTAAAGCATTCCTTTAACATGACCTTAGTGAAGGTAGACGCTGTGGTCCACTGTGGGGCAGGAAGAGACAGAAAGAAGCCACTGTGTGGAGCCGTGGGCAGGAGAGGCACAGATGAGCTGAGTGTGTTAGCTGTACTTCATGTAATCTTCTCTGATTGGCTGCTTGGTTCCTGAGAAGCAGGAAGTGGAGTTACCAGCAGAGCAGAAACCAACCGGGTTTGGTTCAATGACTTCAGAATGTTGAGACACTACAGTGAAGACACCGTGTAGCCGTGTTTTTATAGTCAGTGCGAAGGTCGTGTCAGTTCAACAGAGGTAGAGAATCGACTGATGTCGAGGTTCATTTGTCGATGCCATGACGCGGTGTTGTCTCGTTAGCACCTCGTAAACTCTACGTCAGGGCGCTGACACACAGATGGGTGTGTTTTCATCATCAGTCAGATCCCACTTCTTTCCTGATTTGTTTTCCAGACATCCAGGAATTCCTGTAGTTCTGTGAATCATCAGTAAGAAAACTCACTTAGAAACAACCGGGCTGAACGGAAGTGGCTCCTTCGCTTCACGGGGCGGTAATCGACCATTTGGAGAGAATTTCCAACCGTGAGCTTCTGTAGCCAGGCACCGGTGCCAACAGTTCCCCTCAGAGGAGCTCCTACAGCAAGTGCTGGCTCTGAACAGAAGGCTCTGTTTAATCAAGTCCAAGGGTTAATGCAGGTTTTTTTTTTTTAAAGAAACCTAATCTGACGGTATGCAATTTGTTAAAGACTTTTAAGTACTAACAAATGGCCATTTCTGTAGCCAACCAGACGTCTTTGCCAAAGTGCCAGTGTTTTCTCAACCTTGAAACTCATCAATTAAACGGTCCTCACTGGTGTAAATCATAAAGACCTTTTGGAAAAGAAAAACTTCTGAGGAAAAGAAAAACTACTGAGACTTCCAAAAAAATCACTCCTGGAATTCTACAGTATACGTGTTATTTATGTGAGCCGGACACCATGTGGTTTAAAGTTAAAGTCTCCCATAGTGTAGCAGTAACCATGCCTGCCTTACACACAGAAAGGTCCTAGGTTCAAGCCCCAGAGGAACCACATATTGAATAGCTCCTCCCATGTGGCGGACTGTGTGGGTTGGAAAGATTCAGACTGTGAACTTCCTGTCGCTTCATTTAACTGACCCAGTAGATACTAGGTATAACCACTAGGTGAACCTAGCATCTACCACTAACTAAATTAAAGTTAAAAAATTAAAGGAAACTTCTCAGAAACATTTTTTAAAACATTCATTTAAAACAGATCCTTGTCTTCTTTTCCAAATCAGAACAAAGTGTTTAATCCCAGGGTTGCTTCTTTGTATAAAAGTCAATGTCTTGTCTTCACAGTTAACTTCCAAACATCTTCAGGCCTAAAGAAACTCTTACAAACAGCTTGTTTCACACTGCGGTTGCCAGGTCTGACCACTTGTTGCCAGCTCTCCAGTTATTTTTGGTGGGAGAAGTTCTGCCTCCAACAAGACTGTGTTACCCCAGCCGGCCTGTATGTGGCACCGAGGAACACGCACGTTGTCACAGCATCCTCTCTTCACCTGTGGCTCCAGTCCAGGCTCATTAACATACCTGTGAATCACAGAGGAGAGCGAGAGCAGAAAGGCACGCAGATGTCATTGAGTTTGGCACCGCTCGGCGCCCACATCAAGAAGGCTTGGCACGGAGGTCCAGCGGCTCTGACACAGGTTGCACCTCAGTCTGGGGCTCAGACTGAGGAGCGCTTGTGTTCATCTGTACAGGTGCTCCTGTGAAATTTATGTCAGAGGAAAAAGATTTTTGGTACAAGATGTGAATATCTGAATGTTCTCAAACAGAGAAAGAAACACATCGTTCACTGGGGGGGTGAGCGGGGGGGGGGCGGTTCATCCCTTTGAAAATATGTTTTTAAAGCATTTTGGATCATTTTAAGGGGAATTTTATCACACGTCTCTATCCATTCAACCCTGAAGAGTGATATTTTTGACAGATTTTTGTAGAGCAAACGAGGGAGTGGCTGCTGCGCTGATCTGTTCCAGCCTGGCATCGAGTGAAGTGTTCTGTTCTCAGCCTGGCTGTTGATGCTGCTCTGGACCTGGTGTCGGTGTCAACTGTTATTGTCAGTTTTTTTTTTTAAGTCATAAATTGAATATTTTTGGACAACAATCATGTGAATCATATTCTGGTCTAGGTTTGAAGAGCTGAGCTTCATATGGGCTTTTATTGCTGCTGTTGATGTTATTAATAGTTGAGAACCGGGGCCTGAGGCTGCCCACAAACAAACACTGTGTAACGTACATTTAAAGACTTTCCTGAGAAAATATTTACTGTTGTCATATTTGCCCCTAGAAGGACGAGTATTCACTGGTTTCCACTACCATCTGTGTATTTTTACCCAGTTCAGTTTAGTGGCTACATCAGTCTTTTTATTTGTTGTCAACTGGTTTTTACGTCTTGTGGTGAAACTATAAATAATATTTGCAGACAAATCCTTTTACAGGAAGATTAGATCTTCAACAGCAGCAACAACCAGAACTAAAAACTACGAGGCAGCAGTTTTTAGTTTTCAGTAGCAGAGTGGTTCTACGTGCCCTGAACAAACAGGATATTTTCATCTGGTCCACAACACGTCAACAAGTCCCTGATGTGTCAGGCGACCACATCCAGGTTGTGCTTTCATCATCCATAGACAATAGACCAGGCCCAAGCTCAACACAGCTGTGTGTGGGTTTGGTGTGTGTGCCCCCCCACCCTCCACCCCCTCCTTCCCCCAGATGACCCTGTGGGCTGAGCCAGGCTGTCCTTCAGAGACTGGTGGCAGCAGCCAGGGCCGGGGGAGGAAAAAGAGGAGGAGGAGGAGGAAGATGAGATTATCTCTTATTCCTGGCCTCCTCAGTCTCTATGATCTTTGCTGTTTTGTCTGAAATCCAGAATCCGAACATAATGCACTAAAAAACAAAAACAATATGAGCTCAAGGAAAAGTCTGACATGTGACATCATGAAAAACGCAGCAGGTTTGTTTTTCCTGACGACACTCTGCTGCCCCTGTTGACACGGCGCTGAGAACCTGCTGATTCATGTGGCCGTTCACCCCCAGCACGCATTATTTTAATGAATAAACCATGGATATGAAAGTCACTCTCTTACCTCAGATTATGTTCACATTTATTTTCAAGTTTTTTTCTCACAAAAGTCAAGGTTTAGCTAATCTCCTGCAGTTTCTGACACATTTACTGCTTTTTTAGTTTTAAATTATTAAGATAACTCCATAATCCACCAGTTAGCAAATGTGATCATTATTAGTTGAACTCTGTTGCCATAGTTTTTTTCCGAGGGAGAGAAAACAATGACATAACGTGTTGGTTAAATGAAATATATCTGCTGGGATTTCTTAGAAAAACCACATCTGTCTCTATTAATTCTCTTTATCTCCCAGTCGTCTGTGGGTTCTTACACGCTGTGTTCCATTAATCATCAATCATTTCAAAAAAGAAAATAATTACCAAGTGAAGCCGAGTGAGTCTGCCTCTCCTCAGATGGTGGTTTGGTTGTTGTGGGTGTGTCACGTGGGCTGTGAAGCTGCCAGGTGACCCGACCTTTCCTGCCTGTTCAGCTACCACATGAAAGAATTCTGCTTTTGTCTGACGAGGGAGTTGTTCTTTGGAAAGAAGTGGTTTGTTTTTGAGCAGATCTGTTTATCTGGTGAGACATTGTGCTGACACGAAATAATTGGCCCGTCTCGTCAAAAACACTGGGTGCCTTGTTTGGGTGTGAACCAATGCCATCACTGGGTCTCCTTTCAAATGAATCTAATAGAAGAATTCAATATATAAAGACCGTGTTTGTTGATCTTTCCCAGCACATGTGAATCACCACTGAGAGAAGTCAGTGGTTTAGACGTGAGCCAGATACAGTACTGGCCAAAATGACCATTTCATCATCGGAGTTTTTACCATCACATCTGCTGGAAACATGATGTAATCACATCATCACATCCATTTTGTAATCCTTAACCATCTTCTCTTTCTAACTCACAGTGGTACAGTGGTACAGTGGTACAGTGGTACAGTGGTACAGTGAGCTGGAGTCGCTTCATGTCGAGGCTTGAGTCTGATTAGAATCTTATCTGAATAGAACCAGGCAGGTTCTCACACTGTGGAACGTTTTAAGGGATATTAAAAAAAACAGCATTTTTCAGACGACAACAGACATTTAAGGTCTTGTATTCTTTCTTTGTTTGTTCTTATTCACAAGAGTTGTGTTGTGTGTATGTTCAAAGATGTTGGTTTATCTGACGTACAGGGCAGTTTGTTGTGGTTTCCAACAGTGTCAGAAACACTGAGTGTGGAGTTCAGAGAGGAAGATGGACATACATTAAAATACTGTCTTTGTGTCAGTGGAGAAGTGTGAGGAACATGTCTTTCCTTTGCAAATACTGTCTCTAAACTGAAGTACATTCTCAGTTTGTTTTAAGGTAAAAGATTGGTTCTAATCTGATCTCTGTCCGTGATCTCTGTCTGTGATCTCTGTCTGTGATCCCTGTCCGTGATCTCTGTCTGTGATCTCTGTCCGTGATCTCTGTCTGTGATCTCTGTCCGTGATCTCTGTCTGTGATCTCTGTCCGTAATCTCTGTCCGTGATCTCTGTCTCCCTTTAGTTGAAGCAGCCTGAAAAGGCAGCAGCAGCAGCTCACACCTATTTCCAGGCCAATCCAGAACATGTAGAAATGGGTCCAAACCTGGAACAGTACAGAGACCAGCAGGACGTCCAGGAGGTCCACTTTGTCGACCAGGAGGCTCGACCACACCAGGTCGGACGGACATTTTTTATTTCTTGCATCATGTGACCAGAGGCTTTGCTAAGTGCTAATGTTAGCCGCTCCGTCTTCTCTCCCCGTGCAGCACTCATTCACAGAAGCAGTGAAGCTGTATGACGTCGGTGACTACGAGGGCGCCATCGTTCTGTTCGAGGAGGCGCTGGTGGAGTACTACACAGCTGACGTGGAGTGTCGGGCCCTCTGTCAAGGACCACAGAAGTTTGAGGGCCACGACCATGTCCAGTACCGTTACAGTCTTCATGAACTCATATCAGGTAAGTCGTCCAGTCATCTTAGTCTGAGAAACAGAACAGTTCTATTAGACAGATGTAGTCGGCCCACATGTGGTGTTTATAACTGTATAACAACATATAGACTTTAAAAGGAACCAAATGGACCTCAACTGTATAACAACATATAGACTTTAAATGGAACCAAATGGACCTGAAGCTGGATTCAGTTTCTGCTACTTTGATTATTTATATACATTCTTCAGTTGGTTTATTGAATCATCTGTTCCTGGTTGGTGTTCTGCCCTCTCTGTGTTTACCATGGAGGGGCAGTATATGACAAACTGCCACCACTCATGTCTGTATGACAGCTGCTGTTCATTTGAAAAGGCCATAGATTTACGGTAACCATGTGACCCAAACAGGAATTCAAACGCCCGTGTTGCGCCACTTTCAAAGCTCCAACAGGATGTTTATGTCACCACACGACACACAGGCCTCTGACAGTGTTTTCATGAATCCTGTCAGCAGTTGTTTTAGGCTGTTTGTATTTAGAAGACAAGACAAATGAGAAGAAAGAATTAGATCTGCTTGGAGCGAACCCAAAACTCTATGTTTAATTTAAATTTTTCGTAATGAAGATGCTCAAATATGAAAAGATTTATGTATTTGGCTGTTGATAACTGCTAAAGAATATCTTCCTTTTTCTCGTTAATCACAGTTGTGTGTTAACTGTTACCAAGCCGCTCCTTGTCCTGTGATTTATAACCAAGTCCTGACTTCATTTTCTGGTAATTACACGGCGTAAATAAAGGCCTCACTTTCAAAGCTTTGCACTCATACTTTTGCAGTTTTCTTGCGGCTCTACAAACTGGGGCGGGGGCTGATTGCATGTTATGGTTGGCCAGTGGGTCGGGTCCCAGCACACTCTCTTACACACACACCAAATTACAGGGGAGAGCGTTGATAAACAAAGTCACAATCTCTGACAACACTTTCTGGAAGCTTCTCTCTCAGTGGGATCTGACCTGATGTCCTTCATCCCTGCTCCTGATCTGAATACGTTTGATGACGTTACATGCAGAAGCAGCCTGCACGTTAATAATTACCAGGGAGTCGAGACCTGGCCACACAGACGGTGTCATGTTTGAGGCTTTATTTACGTCGTTGGACGTCGAGAAATCAGGACTGAGCCAAAGGTGCACCTGCAGTCCAACACTATCAGACTGTCTGTTTGAACATCACACAGACACTGGTGTGTGAGGATCTTCAACATGTCCACTACGTCTTCCTTCTTCTGCCACATGGTGATAGTACACATCATATAACATAAAGTTTGAAAGTTTAACAAAACGACTCATTTGGACGTCAGTGAACTCCTGTGGATCCTCACGTTTGGATTTGGACGCAATCGCTTTAATGAAATGACGCTAACAACAGTTAGCAGCTAACAACAGTTAGCAGCTAAAAACAGTTAGTGTGCTGTGAAGGTTCACTCTTCCACAGTAAAACTGTTCTCAGTACAGTACAGTACAGTACAGTACAGTAGTTTTGGTCTGGAAATCCTTTTCGACTGGTGTCAGGTCCTTCTCTTTCTGCAGCTTGGCGGCGGCGTTGGCGTTGGCGGTCAGCAGTAGCTGCAGAAACACTGCTGACCATGTTTTTTTTTAACATAAAATAGAAACACTGCTGACCATGTTTTTTTTATGGAACGGTTTTTTTTATTTTACTTTGCAAAACATACATTTTGCAAAGTAAAATAAATAGACTGTGAAATACTTTTGGCTTAATTTGTGTTTTCCTTGCTGTCAAGGAGGTCTGTTCTGTAGCAACACCACAGTGGAGGCAGGTTGCTGTTTGTTTGTGTTAAAATGTGTTCACGCATTTTAACACAACTTCAGTGTCTGCTGCTCCACGGCTGGAGAAAAAAAAAGAAGTAAACTGGCCTGAACTCGACTGAGGAGAAGAGTTCCTGCAGCTGCTCCAGAGTGACCTCACTGTACATACATGCTCATAACACAAGCATGCTGTCGTCCTCGCCTCCTGGGGGGGGGAGGTCGACCTAAGGAAATGATGTGCAGCGCCTCCATTTATCACCACACAACGAGCAACAAAGACATGAAAGCTGTTGTCAGGAAGAGAAAGGCGCTGGTTTTATAGATTTAACAACATGAAGAAATCCTCTGAAGTCTGGGAAGAAGAGAACTGCAGTTCAGTCTGAACTCTGTCTCCAGCCTCGGCTTGACTGACAGGCTGCACTTTGTGTGGCAAAAACAGTACCTCTCCAACCCAGCAGGTGGCGAGTCGCTCCATCTCTGATTGTCTGGTTCTGGCAGCTGCCAGAGATGAGGCAGCGTGTTGTGTTAGTGTTCAGACAGTTGTTTTACTCTGCGAGGCTCCAGATAAACACATGATAAACAGTTTGTGTTTTGTTGAAGCCTGCGCTCCATCATCAGCTGTTGTAGCATTAACTACAGGAAATGCTAACAATTAATTATCATCTGCAGCTGTTTTTGTCTGTGAGAGTGTAAGCCAGTGTCTGTTACAGCATGAGCTCACATCACATGATGATCTGAGCAGAGTTAATGACTGTAGGCATGAAATCGTTGTACAATAAGAAGTTGGCTAATACTGGTTCCATCTGGAAATAACATGAACGTGTACATCTTCAGAGATCCAGCCTAGTTGGTAGCATGTGTGCAGACGCAGGCTTGAGCAGCTCGGCGTTCTAACCCCTGACTGTGAGTCCGTTTTCTTTCAGATCACTTCACTCAGGTGCTGCACTGTGAACACGAGTGTGTCCGAGATCTGGCCACTCGTCCGGGCCGCCTCTCCACCATGGAGAACTACCTGCCGCTTCACTACGATTACCTTCAGTTTGCCTACTTCCAGGGTAAGTTGAAGAGGTTTGTTGATGCTTTCTGTTAATCTGCCCGTCTATTGATGATGTCATTATTAGTGACACAGCCCTTTCATAGCCATGTGACAGGCTACAGTACCTGCCGATCACTACTAAAACAACAGTCGGATCAACTTTAGAAAAGTGTCTTCTTCTTCTTCTTCTTCTTCTTGTTCTTGTTCTTCTTGTTCTTGTTCTTCTGCTTCTTCTTCTTCTTCTTCTTCTTCCTCTTCTTCTTCTTCTTCTTCTTCTTCCTCTTCTTCTTCTTCTTCTTCTTCTTGTTCTTGTTCTTCTTGTTCTTGTTCTTCTGCTTCTTCTTCTTCTTCTTGTTCTGCTTGTTCTTCTTGTTCTTCTTGTTCTACTTGTTCTTCTTCTTCTTCTTCTTCTTCTTCCTCTTCTTCTTCTTCTTCTTCTTCTTCCTCTTCCTCTTCCTCTTCCTCTTCCTCTTCCTCTTCTTCAGGATTCAGGTTGACGTGTGACAGTTTCATGAAAAGTCATTTCAGGTGAGAGCGTCTGGAATGGTTAAAAGTCCAGTTAGGGAAGGACGGTGCTGAGTAACGATGACATCATAGTTAATGACCTGTGAACATGTGGCTGTGATGGGAAAAAAAAATGGTTCAACAGATCTGTGGAGGAAACCTGGAGCGACTTAGAATTCCTAACAGCTGATTATCGTGTGTGTGTGTGTGTGTGTTAAACGTCCAGACACAAGCGCTAGAGTTTGTTTTTGTTTTAGTTACACACATTTAACAAAATACTGAAATTATTTATATTATATATTATAATATTATACCATAGAGTATAGGTTTAAAAACATCATTAAACTAATGAATCAGAAACAATTCAAAAAATATACAAAAAAAGAAAGAAATGAAAAATATATATCTTTGTCTCTATATATATGTTATAAACTGTAAAAACCTAAAGGACAAATTGTGACACAGATTAGTCAGTATGAATGTAATTCTATAGCTTTACCTTAAAGACAACCCTCTGTTCTTTAAATGATGTTTAGATTCTTAACTGTCTGGACTTTTATTGTGTCGTCAGCTGCTCACAGATCCTGCTGTGTTTTACACCTGAACAACTTTTCACACGCACACGACAGTCGTGTTCACGCCGCGACGTGTGTCATATTTGTTTGTGTCTCACTTCATCAGTGTGTGTGTGTGTGTGTGTGTTTGTTATAAAGCAGTGTTTGCTCCGCTGGGGTAATGACTGTGGAATGTCAGCTGTAATAGATTTACACGTTACTTCAGCTGGTGGGGGGCAAAAAGAAAAGGTCGAGTCAACGCTGAAAATGAAGAGAAATGAAGGAATGCAGGAAATTAAAACATAGATGTGGAAGGAAACTCTTCATCGTTCAGCAGCAGGGTTTAGTCTGTGTGTGTGTGTGTGTGTGTGTGTGTGTGTGTGTTTTAACAAAGTTTTTACCTTTTTTATTTGCATTTTATTTTTATTTATCTTTGTCGTTTCATGCCTTCGTGAGATAAAGTTAATGAGGTCAAGTCTCAGTATGACATGTCATATTAGGTCAGGAACAATGTCATGTCCTGTGAGTTAATTAAAGGTTCAGTTCATAAATATTAGCTTCAGGAAAAGGCCTCAAATGTTTGGAATCAAACGAAGGCATTTTATTAGAAAAACATTTTTCCACTCTGATTTGCAGTGGACATGCTGCAGGAGGCGCTAGAGTGTGCACTGACGTACCTTCTGTTCCACAAAGAAGAAGAGTTCATGACAGACAATGTGGATTACTACAGAGAGGTGCTGGGACGTGACGGCAGTCCACGGGAGGTAAGAAATATGTGGTGAATTAGTCTTCAACGGTTGGTTCCCGGCCCCTGGGCAGTTCGTGGAATTAGACAATTCAGTTCATGTTTAGAGTCAAGAACTACAGTAGATCCATACCATAATAGAACAGTTTAATATGTTAGTATGTGTTTATGATGTAACAGAAATGAACAAGTCTTTACTGATTTTTGTTTTAACATTTAGAATAAAAACAAACATGTTGATTTGAATGTAAATGATTAATATCTAACTGACAGACACTGACGTTGTTGTTTATAAATGACCCCCACACCCCCCACTCTGTATGAATATATGAACATCTGTGTATTATATCAATGTGTTGAAATTCTGTGCAGTTTTGTCTAAAGGACAGTTTTCAACAGTATTCACAGTAGGGGGTCTCTGCGCCGCCTCCCCGTCAGTTTGGGGTCTGCAGCCTGAAGACTCCTGGTCCCAGGGACTAAAGCCTCATAAACAACTGAAAAGGAATTCAAAATCTATTGCTGCTGTCAGTGTGAAGTCTTTGAGATGAGAATGAACTGAAAATAGTGACAATAATTCAAAGAAATATTTAACATATTATCACTTTGCTGTTGAAGTGGTTGGGCTTCACAGATGAAGAATTAAAGTGAGGATGTGGAGACGGGAGGCAGCGATGCTGTTTCTGTATGTCTTGGATGAACTTGCTGTTCACCACTTGGCAGGAGTTTCCTCTCTAAGTTTTCTTTTCACTCCCGTTCCATCCAGCTGGACGTTTTGAGGCAGTTCTGCCCCCCGGCGTGTTTACAACAACTCATTTTTTTTTTTTCTTCCTTCCTTCCTCCCTGTGGTTCATAACGCTGCACAGGTTAGGGTCGTGTCCCGGTGAGGCTTTTATAAAAGCAGATATGTGATGACATCAGCCACTTCAGCACTGATTAGGTCGTCTTTAACTCTGATGAAAAAGTCAACTGATGCCTCGTTGAAGGTCTCAATTACTCAATGGTTTTTCCTAGAAAGCCTGGGAGTCATTACAGTGTGTGAGGCTCCCACGTCCCTGCAGTGAGTCAGTGAATCACTGAGTCAGTGAATCAGTGAATCAGTGATTCAGTGAGTCCAATGCTGACTGTCTTTAGTGTTTGCTCATGGTCTACGTCTTGTAGCCTTCATCAGATTACAAACAGGATGTCAGTGCCGATCATTGAAGTACTGCATTTTCAGACTTGAGTGTAAATACGTGTCACTGGAATAGTAATAATAATTATAATTATATAGATTTATTTTTAAAAAAGAGACCACTAGGGATTTTTTTTTTTCAAGTGAGAACAGTTTTTATCGGTGTGTGTGTTTACATGTGTGTGTGTGTGTGTGTGTTCACAGAAAGCAGACTGGTACCTGCGCAGACACAAACAGGAGCAGCAGCTGCTGTTGGCGGGCAGTGAAGTCATGGGAGTGACCTATACTGAAGGGGTGAGTCCCAAAATGCAACTTACACCCAGTGTGAGAAATCCTGGACTTTATTTCGGAGCCGTCACTCACTGTTAAAGTGACACATGTCTCTAATGCAGAGCAGAACCTTTGGTTTTGGCCACCACTGCTGCTGATTCTCAGCAGGGTAACAGGTGTCTGGCAAAGATGGCCTGTTCGGCCCACACAGGTCAGCCTACTAAACAGTGACACCTACTGGTCACAATTCTATCTACGCAGCAAAGTGGAGAATCTGGTTTATTCAATCGTTCACACACAGTACAGTACCGGTCCAACAGCCCTGGATTTAAAAACTAAAAAATATTTCCTTCGACCTTCTTGATTTCCTAGCCCTGGATTTAAAAACTAAAAAAAAACAAAAAACTTCGACCTTCTTAAATTTCTCTACCAAGATTCTAAAAGTACTTAGAACATCTGCAACATGTTGTCTTTCTTGGCATCATCTTTGTCTTTGTTGACAGCTGTATTTGTGCACGTCATGCATGAATACCATTTACCTCAGTGGTCCCTGCAAAGCTGAGTTCATAAAGAAGAATACTAAGACTTTGTTAGTGTATGAAGTTAGGAGAGAAATAAAAATGTGTCTTTGTGTTTGCTGTAGAATTACTGGAGCAGCACAGGCGGAAGAAATGACACCAGGTAAGAAAAAGAAGTAAAATTCAAAGTATGCTCTTTAGGATTTAGCGCCATCAAGCGGTAAAGGTATTTAGACATGGTGTAAAAAAAATGTAGTAAAAAATTGTACATGCTGGCTTTCAGTTTGTCAATATAAAATGTGAAAACATGTGAATTAATTATTAATATTTTTGGTGCCTTACACTAAAAAAAGTCTTTCCTCGCCGTCTGCTCTCCCAGGATTCCCTCTGGCACAGATGGCTGGATGGAGTACGTTCCTATTTCAGACAAGCGGGACGTCAGTGTTGTTGTTCCGCAGAAAGTCAAAGAAGGTAAATCTCCCCGCTGGTCTGAGTGGGAGTCAGACTGGAAAGGTGAAGTCATTAGTGTTGGCCTGAATCTTCTCTGACTGCACTGATAGAGATAACATGTTTCTCTGCTCTGCCCTGTGTGCAGGCGGCCCCTTGTTGTACGACGGCGTGCAGCTGGTGCAGACCTCTGCAGACTTAAACGGGACACAGCGAGTGCTGCTGGATCACGTTATATCTGAGGATGAATGTGCAGAGCTCAGACAGCTGGCGCATGTGAGACTATTACTCAATAACAATAAAATATGAGGACTTTAAATCACTGCAACTGTCAGGGACAATAATAAATCTCACTCTGCATATTTTCCTTCTGCTTTTAATAGATGTGAAATTTTACATCCTGTAGAAGAAGCGATATTGTCTGAGCCTGTTCTGGGAGAAAGAGTTCAGTTTTGCCCATTGGTTCTTGAAGTGTTTTCTGCTGTGTCTCAGGTCGTTACCATGGGAGGAGACGGCTACAGGGGGAGGATGTCTCCACACACGCCCAATGAGAAATTTGAAGGAGCCACTGTGCTTAAAACCCTGCAGGTAAAACAACTGAACTTCTTTTACTGTATAAACTAATCTGTTACAGGATTCTACCTCTTTGTGAAGATCTCCACAAATGTATTTGAACGAAACAGTGTTTTATTCATGGGCTGGTTTCAGTCGTTTGTAACTGATCTGGAATGAATTATAAACCTTATTTTTACCAGTCAATACGACCGTGACGTGTCAATAAAACTCTTAATGTGTTAAATATTATATCCTGTCGGTACTACAGTACTGTTGAATTTCCTACAACAGAACTTCATCAGAGAAAACAAACACTTTTATAGTGTAATTACAACAAGCTGTTTTCTTGATTTACTATCACGAGCCTTTTTAATTTTGTTTTTCTTCCTCAGTACGGCTACGAAGGTAGAGTGCCGATGAAGAGCGCTCGTCTCTTCTATCACGTCAGCGAGCGAGCCAGACGCATCGTGGAGTCCTACTTCCTCCTCAACTCCACCCTGCACTTCTCCTACACACACCTCGTGTGCCGCACAGCCATCATAGGTCACTGACACAGACACACTGACACAGACAAAATACAATGCAATTTATTGGCAATTTTTTATGAAAAAAATACTATAAGGAAGCAGGGGGAGGGGACAAATTTGTTTTAAAATGTTAAGATAATTAAAATTTTTGCATCTTTTTTTGTAGGTCAACAAGATCACAGGAACGACCTGAGCCATCCCATCCACGCAGACAACTGTCTGCTGGACCCTGATGCCAATGAGTGTTGGAAGGAGCCTCCAGCGTACACCTACAGAGACTACAGGTACAGTGACAGTTTATCAGTGCTCATCAAATATAATCCCAGAGATTAATCTACTGCGAAACTGATCGCTGTCTATTTCTAACTCTTATTTTGTTTTCAGTGCACTGTTGTATCTGAACGGAGACTTTGAAGGTGGGGAGTTCATATTCACAGAAATGGATGCCAAAACAGTCACAGTAAGAACTTTTCTTCTCACATGAACACGGAACAATTCAGTGACGTTTACTGTACACTCACGGCAGTTTTTTAGTTTTTTATATTTTGGGAAAACACAATGCAATTCTTTGGCCGTGACTTCACCTCTGTCTGACTCCATCTCCGTGATTGAATCTTCTCCAGGCATCAGTGAAGCCCAGGTGTGGTAGATTGGTGGGGTTCTCCTCCGGAGGTGAGAACCCACACGGGGTAAAAGCCATCACCAGTGGGCAGAGGTGTGCTGTGGCTTTGTGGTTCACCCTGGATCCGCTCTACAGAGAACTGGTCAGTCATTTCTTCAACCCCAGGGCTTTAAGAACCGTGTTTATCAGGAGGATTCATCAACTTAACTGCAGAGTAAAAATTAAGACGGAAATGCTAACGAAATAACTTAAATTTCCACAGAATTTTAGTCTCAACACATAAATATAATACCAACAAATAAGAACAACTTTGTTTACTGAATTAGACTGCACTGTTTATTTAGAGTAACTGAATCTCAGTCTTCCAGACTAAACAGCTCTAAATAATTAAAGCCTCTCTTCATAAATCATAAACCTGGCAGCACAGGGAGAAAACTCTTCCTCTCTACATAAACAACTGGGTCTGTTTTTCCAAAACTGAATCCCAGTTGATCCCGGATTTGAGTGGTTTTAAAATATCAAGTTTACTCCAGTTCCTGTATCTTTTGTCTTGTGGTCCTCTGTGGTGATCAAATTTCCCTCTCTTCTTCACATTCGTCTTCTCCAGGAAAGACTCCAGGCAGACGAGGTGATCCAAGCACTGGACACGCAGCCTGTGTGGGGTCACGGCCTCAGCATAAACCCTAAAGATGAACTGTAGAGGCAGGAAAAAAAGTACCCTTAAATATATTCTACATAATTTAACTATTTATTGAATGACTTTGGATCAGAACAATTTTGTGTTTGTACTGTTTAAGGTGCAAGGTCAATAATAATATTATCAGTTTCGTGTCGTCATTTAATTCCTTTGTCTTCGCTCTGCATAAAAATACTTGAGTTGACCTGTAGAGAATTGACGTTTCTTCTCTGCAGGAGACTCGAGTTGAGACGACATGGGAAATATTTTGTCGTGATTTAGTTTTGACTGGTTTGCAGACTGCTGGTTTTGACTATGGCTCAAAACTGTAGTTTCCCTGAACTGTGAAGAAGACAATGAGAGGTTTGGTAGCTGTTTGTGTTCTTATTATGAACACTGACTGGTAAAACACTATGTACAGGTGTTAAAACGATATACTTCAGAAATAATATCAAATTGTTGTTAAGGGTACTGTTAAATACAAGTATATATTTTTCCTGTTCCAGTGATAATTGAAAAGTACACAGTGCACTGTTCTTTTTTTATTTGGGTGTTTAAATCTCCATTAGTACAGTAAAAAATAACAGATGTTTTTATTTTTGTTGAATATTTAATGCACTCTGTCCTCTGTGTGTCATGTCTGAAACTGAAAATGTCCCCTGCACTAGTTTAGCACACCCCCACATCCCCCTTCCTCCCCTTCCTCCTCCCACTCCTGCTCCCCCTGCTCCTCGTCCTCCTCCACTTCTCTGGCACACAGAGCAAAGTACAGGTTTACATGTTTTCTGACATTAAGACGTGTATTTGTGTATGTTATATGTTTAACGTTTTATTTATTTCTTGGTTTAATACACGGCTGCTGTTGTCGTCATTCAATATGAAAAAGTTAGTTTTTTCATAAAAGATGAAAAATCGTTCCTGTTTCAAGGAATAAATATTTGTCAGGTCTGCTATGTCTTTATATTTGTGTTGCTGTTACAGATAATAGACCGAGTCGTGCACTGTAAATCCAGTTTAAAGAAACACACAAAGGGTAGCATTTTTTTTCTTTTCCTTTTTTGTTTATTTTTCAAACCATAAACTGTCCTTTTGAATCACAGGTGAATTTTAAAATGCTCTGGTACAGAAAATATACGTGTCTGTAGATTAAAGAATTATATTCACCATCTATATTGTCAGGCATCTGTTATCATTTGCTCTTTGAAGGACGGAATCTGAAGGAAACACACCTTTACTCCAACATCGAGTATATTTCCCTTTTCTTGAAACATTTATTTATTTATTTTCTATACAGTATTTAACAGGAAATTCTTACAAAAATAATATATTTATGCCATACTCACTCTAGGTAACACAAATACTCTCTGATGACGGACATACAGAAGTCTAAGCTGCGGAGTGGATTCAAAGTAAAGAGTTTCAAAGTAAAGTGCAGCAGTTATGCAGTAGTTTGACATTGATACATAGATAATGTACTGATGTGTATACTGTATGTTTACACTGAGTGGGTAGTAACAATTTACTCCGTTACATTTACTTAAGTAAGTTTTTCCAAATAAAATACTTTTAGGAATAGTTTAAAATCACTATACTTTTTACTTTTACTTGAGTAGATTTATGAAGAGGAAACAGTACTCTTACTCCGCTACATTAGGCTGTACTGAGCTCGTTAGTCGTTACAGAGATACTCGATAAAACTTTAGCTATTTAGTATCCAGTTCTCTGTTATTCCATGATCAAGTATCTCTATTTTGTTTTGTCAGAGAGAGACTTCCGTCCAAGGCTCTACCACGTGACTGTGTTTAACCAATTACACGTACACGAGACTGCGCGGCAAGGACCCGCGCAGTCTTGTCACGTGACCACGCTCAAGCTCAGCGGCGGGACGGATTAGCTTAGCGGCTACTGCGGTCGATATTTGTTTTTGATAGCAAAATGGTAGAAACAATGCAGACGAAGACGAGGAGGAACAGCCCGGGACTCATGTTCAGTTTACAAACAGTGCGGAATAGCAGTTACATCAGTTTTGTCCCCCAAAACAAACGGATATTTCGGCATTCAACAACTCAACGTCTAACCTGAGGAAATATGTTGCGGTAAGTTTAACCTAAAATCGTTTTGGGGTTGTTTTTTTGTGTTTGTTTTTCAACAGTTACTCAGTGCTTGAGTAGTTTTTCCACCAGGTACTTTTTTACTCTTACTCAAGCAATTATTTGGATGACTACTTTTTACATCTACTTGAGTAGTATTATTCTGAAGTGACAGTACTTTTACTTGAGTACCTTTTTTTGCTACTCTACCCACCTCTGTGCAACAACAATAGGCAAATTATCAAAAAATAATTAAATAATTTTCCTTGGACAACTTATTAAACACTGATATCAGCAAATAACTGGTGAAAAAAAACCCCAAACTTTTATTTCGTTTACACCTGTTGATCGTCTGGTAACTAAGGATGTTATTTGTTGCAACATTGATTTTTTTTCATCTATTATTGTTTATTAAAGCTTAAGCTTCACAACAGTCTGCGGTTGCTGTTATGTGACTCTTGTCTCCATAACACACCAGACAATTTCAACTGGAGACAGATGCAGGCAACAGATGTCTTTGTTTCTGAGTAAAGGTGATCTGTGTGGATTATGATTTTGCAGAATTTAACACGCACTACTGAACCCTGAGCCATTGTTTGTAAAGCTTGAATCTTTGCTGGATAATCCTTTTACACCCAGTCAAGGGAACTCGAAACTGAATGTTTTAAACGTTTCATTTCCACATTTACTCTCTGTCAACCTTTCTAAAATATGCTCTTAATCTTTTTCAGTCAAATCCAGGAATCAATCCTAGTGGTCATCAGGGGAAATGCAGGCTACACCCTGGACAGTTCACCAGTCCATTACATGGGAATCAGGGGAAATGCAGGCTACACCCTGGTTCACCAGTCCATTACAGGGGGATCGAACTGTTGATTTTTATTGGAAGGCAAGTGAGCTAACCTCTTTCCCAATTTATTTTCCGCATTAGAATTTTGTTGTGCAGTAAAATTACTAAGTTGTCTGCGTCTCCTGTCTGTTAAATGATAAATATTTAAGTTGATTTTTGCATTTTCAGGAGACCTTTTTTCACACAAAGGGGTTTGTGTAAAATAATACACCTGAACACAGGATGAAAATATGTCACTTGCTCCATCTTCACTTTAGTGCTGTGGTTCAATTAGTGCATGAATGGGACAAGAATCCGGTCACTACCTGATGTGGTCAGCAAACCTGTTTGGTGGTTTGGTTTCAGAACTGATAGGTCAGCGGTTCACTGTGTCTGAATGGCTTGGTTTCATTGAAAGTACTCTGCAGGTCCCTCAGGCGTCGCGCTCGCCTCTCCTCCAGCACCATCCTGCGGGAGTGATCTTGAGCTGCCTGCTTCTCTACTCGCTTCTCCACCCACTTTCGCCTTAGCCACCTGTTAGAAGAGGAGAGGAAGAGTGGGGTCAGATGGAATGGGATGGAGGTGAGTGTGTCAAATCTTTGGTTTTTTAAAAATTCCTCCTATAGTGTCATATTTATGCTGAATCAAGAAAACTCTACTACAAGTGTCTTTCAAATGCAGAATTTAAAACAAATGACTCTTTTAAATTGGGCATTTATTTAGTTGACTTCAAACCTAACCATGCTGTCCTCCTACATACCAGTAAAAGGTTCTTGCTAAGGTGACTGATGGTGAAAATAGAAAGTAGTAGAGGTGAACTCACAGTTTGAAGGCACGTTCACACTCCTCTCGGCTGTGTAGGAGGTAACTACTGTCCTCCTCCAGCTTCTTCAGCTCCAGCAGCTGCTTCTCTTTCTGCCGCTGCTCCTGTTTCCTCTGGAGCCACAGCTTGAAGGCTTCCTCTGAGTCACAGCTCCCAGAGTCTTTCTGTACACGGGAACAGTAAGTAAGTAATGAGTCTTGGCAGTTTTTACCTTCACTCACGTCTGCCTTAGTGCAATACTCTGTGTTTGAAATTTTGCTCAGGGAACGCACCTTAGAATTCCTCCTCTCCATCTCTTGAGCTCGGAGGATCCTCCTCTCCTCCAGATACTGCCCTCTCTTCCTCAACAGCCAACCTTTGAAGGCCAGCTCATTCTCCTGCCTCCTCTGCTCCTCTTCCTCATGTTTCTTCTGCTCTTCCTGTCACAGGAAATATGATATTCTATCAATAATTTTCAGGTTAATGCTTTAAACGTGATCTGATCTGATGGTTCCTGACTATCCTACCTCTCTGGCCAGCCGGTCCTTTCTCTCCTGGATCCTCTGCAGCAGCTCCTTCTGCTGAGGGGAGAGCATGTATGTGGAGTGGTAAGGGGTCTCAGTGGCCGACTGCACCCGCCTCCTGTTGTCCTTTCTCTGAATCCCTCTCTGACTGTGACTGGCTGAGCTGGGCCTGATCCTGGGCTGTGCTGGAGGTCTTGGAGCTCGGAGGTTATCAACACCCTGCTTAACGCAAGAGGAGCCAGCACGAGAACGTAGAGAGGAGGTGGAGGAAGAGGAGCTGCGTATTTTACCTGAGTCGATTCCGTTGTTCGGAATAGGAGGCAGAAGCCCTTGACTCTCCAACTCTTCAAGGCTGACTAGGTCAAATTTCCCGTCCTTTTCTACAAGGACCCTCCCTTCCTTCACCTCCTGCTCACCATCACACCTGAGCTTGTCAGGGCCTTCATTTCCATCATGAGGAGAAAGTTTTAGCTCTAAAAGTTTCCCTGAGACCATCTCTTCCGCCGTGTCTGCGTCTGTCTGCTTATGTGTGTTCTCTTTTCCTCCTTCTGCATCACCAAACTTCAGAGGAGGCACCACCAGGTCTACGAGTGTTTCTTTGAAATGCAATCTCCTGCGTCTGGTATCATCTGGAGCTTCCTGGTCCTGCAGCTCTTTATTAGCTTGCTGGATCTTTTCAAGGATATATTTTTTTTCCTCATCCGTCTGCTCATTGACCCCTTCAGTAGGACTGGACGGAGGACTGTCTTTGTCTGAATCATCCTCCAGTGACTCCATCGGTGGGGGCCACCTGTCTTCTTCATCCCCCAGCTCTTCTTTCTTTGTACCGTTTCTTTCATTGTGTCTTTCTTTTGTTGTTTTTGCCGGTAGTTTCTCATCCTCTGCCAGTTCTTTGTCAATTTCTGCCTCAAGAGTTTTACACTCAGAGTCCTGCTGGATAGAAAAGGAAGAAGCTTCGCAATTATCTTAAGTTCATTCATCAGGATAATAAAATGACAGAGCAACGTTCATACTGAGCAGGTAATACAGTAGCCGTGCTGCTGCGATAACAGACATGTGTAAGTGTGTTCATCAATATTGTATCTCACAGGGGCACAGTGAAAGTATGTCACTGTATGACAACAGAGTTGTCGGCTCTGTGCGATGTGCCAGCTCAGGTAACTGAAAGCTACCTTCACAGAGCAGCGTCAAGGGCCTTTACAGTAACATTTCAGCCAGCAGAGTGAAGATAATGGTAGATGAAAAAGTTTAACACAAAATAATCATCAGTTTCACTTCAAACCATCTGGTCTGACTTACACGATCCTCCCTCCAGCCTTCCTCGTTTATCAGCCAATCCAAATCCTTCTCGAAGTCATCCTCATACTCCTCGTGTGACTTTGAGTCAATGTCTTCATTCATAGTCTACAACTATAAAAAAAAATTAAAGATACTGTGGGGGGTGGGGAGGTGGACATATTTGACATTGGAAACTGATAACAAATAGAGAAACTGAGAGCATAATTAGTCATAGCTGTTAAATAATAAAACAGTCTGGTTCTGTTCATTCCAGTGGCTGCTTGTGTGGTGTTGCCAGTGGATCAAAATTATCACTGGTTACAATTTGAAAAGTTAAAGTTGATATATGGAAACATAATGTGAATTATTACATTTTATTTTTCTTACATTGTGTTACAATCTATTCTGAACTCAAACAAAACCCATCTATCATCACATGAAAAGGCTCTCAACTGTAATTTTTGTCCTGATGCCCAAATATGGCCCTTGGTTTTTTTATTTCAAAATTAAATAATTTTATTTGGTGTTTTTTTTGTTGCTTATTTTCACTTACAAGAAAAGACACAAATGTCCGTCTCACGTTTATAGGTAACATCGAAGTAAATGGAATATTGTACATCTGTGCGATTGGTCGCCATCTAGTGGACATAAACAACACTGCGGTGTAACAGAAATGTGGAGCGTTTTTTCTGTTTATACCTACAAACAATCGTTTTCGGTCTTGTTTTCTATATCTTTTATATCACTGTTCATTTTATAACTCTGAAACAATTTCACTGGCACTGTTGTAGAATGTAGCCTACAGAGTCATAAAGTATCTTCAAAAATATCAAATGGACCAGGACATTTAAACTCACCGACAGCTGTTAATTACGTGCAGCACTTCTCCTTTTCAGTTGAATTCCCTGAAATTAGAAGTCATCGAGCCTGGTCACTGTTTTTCCATCTACTATATTTGTCACAGAGTCCAGACAGTCTGCGGAGTAACACCTGAGCACATAATCTTCTTCTATTTCCTCTGCAGCCCTTAAAGCTTAAAGAGACCCGTTGTCCTGGAGACGAACAACACGCTTTACTAGTCTACGCAGGCGCAGTTTACAAATACTGATCGCAAACACTGTAAAGAATTAAAAACGAAACTGTCGTTTTATTATTTCAGATATAACTAAATACGCAATGTTTATGTTTAAAAGGACACGAATAATTGATTTAGCTGTATTATAAATAAAGAACCCGGTTGATTTGACTTCGTGACTTCTTGGCAAAATTAAATTTGTATTTGTATGGAAGGCAATAGGCAGTAATAACTGGATTGTTTGTTTTTTTTATATACAAACGATATTTTATTTAAAGACGATAATCGGAGCTTCAGACGTAAATATTAATAGCACCGATGTATCAACATGTCAGTTTTCTGTTTGTAAGTTAATAATTATTGTTTAACCGATGTGAAAAAACTATTTAAAGTATTTGGAACTATTCCTTTATATATGAAATGAATACTAATACACCCCAATATGCGTTTGACCATTTTTAAGTTATTATTGTTATAAGACACCCCAATATGCGTTTGACCATTTTTCAAAGTTTATTATGTTTTATGGCGTAAAATTTACGGTAAAGCGTTTTTAACAAAATAATGTCAACGCTCAGCGAGTGTACTTGAACTCAACATCTACTTCCGTAAACAGTGCATTTCGGGTGATGTAGTTTTATTCAATACCCCCAGACTGCGTAGCTCCAACTAAAGTACTACATCTCCCATGTAACCTCTGCGTTCGTTCAGCGACTACACTTGAATCATGACCAAACACACGTACGCCTCAACTTGACAATGTTTTGAAACGTTGTTAACGCGAAACATTCTTGTGCGCCGAGAAAGGGACGTGTGTTTATTTACCAATGGCCGCCATTGTGTCTTGTAGTCTTAACAGGGCATTTCAAAGTACGACGAGAAGATGTTTGGACGCACATTTTAAAAGTTGTAACGTCGCACGTGAGTCGCGGTTAACGATATCGTCCAGTCACAGACCGGCTGCGCGTCCAGTAGTAAGATGGTTCACTGGAGTGAGGTTTATGTCCCATGGTACCGCAGGCAGAACCGCAGCCGGGCCAACCAGAAGAACTGCCCTGGCACTCGGCGGAGCCGCCGTCGTGACGGGTGCAGCGGCTGCAGTTGGGCTGTTGGTCAACACCGGCCACTTCCAGCGGGCAGAGATGGCAACGAGAGTTTCCCTCGATGCCGTGAAGCCGCAGGAAGAGGGAGACATCCTGGAGAGATGCCGGGGCTTCATGTCTGATCCAGTGTCCGATATCAAAGAACTACAGGGGAGAAAAGACGAAATGAGGACCAGGATGGAGATGCTGATTATGCAGACCCAGGCCGAGTTCTGCAAAGCCCTGGAGGAGGTGGACGGAGGGACGTTTAAGGTGGACCGCTGGGCTCGAAAAGAAGGTGAGAGACAGTGGTGTGTGAGTCTGTGTGGACCAAAAGAGACTGTTTTCACTCTGAACAGATGTTTGTAGTCACCTTCACTATGTCGTTGAGCTATTCATACTATAGTGTAATCGATAGTCGACCATAGTTGTTTGCAGGGGATTTTCTATTCAAGAAACAACTTTAATGAGTCTCTTAAATCAATATTTTTCTCTGGTCTGGAACATTTATCCTTGATGGTCTGTGTTTGCGAAACAGAAAACAAATATTTGAGATTTGCATTATGTAAATGTGAAGAAAAAAACTGTTATCCTACTTTTTTTTTGGTTTTTGCATGGTTGTTTTTTTTTTCAATCAAACAACACATGGTTATTTGAATGATGTCTGATAAGTTGAATTAATTGTCACAGCATTCACTGACTGTGTCTGTGCTTCAGGTGGCGGAGGAGTCAGCTGTGTGATGCAGGATGGAAAAGTGTTTGAAAAGGCTGGGGTCAATGTTTCAGTGGTGTTCGGGAACCTGACGGAAGAGGCTGCCAAACAGATGAGAAGCAGAGGCAAAGTCCTCAAAGGGAAAGATGGTGAGCTGTGCTAACACACATCACACGGTACTGGGATTTAAATTTAAATCTGGTTTGAGTCTCAGTTTGACAAAATTCAATATGTGGTGTCCTCATTACCAGTTAGGAATATGTTTGATTCTCAGGAGGTTATATATTAGATATAGTTATAAATGTAGATGCCTGTATTTTGTAAAAGATTTGAACTCTTGTATGACTCAGCTGTTTTGTAACCCTGTCTTTTCTATCAGGGAAACTGCCGTTTTGCGCCATGGGTGTGAGCTCTGTGATCCACCCTAAAAACCCTCACATCCCCACAGTTCACTTCAACTATAGATACTTTGAGATCGAGGAGGAAGACGGTGAGCATGTGACTTCCAGGACTGCACCTTGGTGCCGCTGACTGTAATGAATAAAAAATGACTCTTGTTTCCTTTGTGGTCAAGGCTCAAAGCTGTGGTGGTTCGGCGGAGGCACCGACCTGACTCCAGTCTACGTTAATGAAGAAGATGCATTTCACTTCCACAACACTCTGAAGGAAGCCTGTGACAAACACCATTCCCAGTACTACAAAGACTTTAAGAAATGGTAAAAGTTCAGCTCTTGCTCTTTGTGTTGTGTGTGTATGTGTGTGTTGCTGCACGTTCACAAGGAAATGCGTGACGTCAGTCTGTCAGTCTGTGTGCAGTACAGGGTGTATCCTGACTGCTGTGAGAATGTGATAAGCAGTGTTTTCTGGCCAAAAAACGTTAAACTGTGAGTGGGGTGTAAAAGTAAGGGGTGTGGTTCATCTAACGTGGTTTTAATAAGTTCCATTTTATCATATTTAAAATATGTACTTTTAAATTTGCCAAAATATTTTTTAATATATCTGAACCTGCACTAGTCTTTATTGTCTCAGTACTATTTTATTGAAGCATTTTTTTATTTTTGTTTCATTATCATTTAGTGATAACAATCAACAAAAAAAATCCAACAAAAGTTAGAATATCTTTTTAAGCTAACATCCACCACAAGTTTAGCATATTTAATTTCATCAAACAAAAAACAAACCAAGTCATTTTTACAGCACTTCCTCTGTTCCACAGGTGTGACAAGTACTTCTACATCCGTCACAGAGGGGAGACTCGGGGTATCGGCGGAATCTTTTTCGATGACCTTGACTCCCCCAATCAGGAAGAGGCGTTCAACTTCGTCAAGAGCTGTACCCGCACCGTGGTGCCCTGTTACCTGCCCATTGTATACAAACATCTGAACGACTCCTTCACCGATGAAGAGAAGAACTGGCAGCAAATCCGACGAGGCAGGTCAGTGAAACACCTTTCTGTGTGTAAATTGTTCTTAACTCTTAAGCTGATTAAATCTGTTTTGATGCATCACTAACAGTGTGATTAATCACCAGATGTCATGTGATTAATTGCACTTAAACATTTTAATCAATGCCCAGACTTAATATATACCTGTGTGTGTATATGTGAAGTATAAGTGTAAGAAATGATCTGAATGTTTAAAAGCTCTGGTTCTTGTGTTTTGTGTTGCAGATATGTGGAGTTTAACCTGGTGTACGACCGAGGAGTGAAGTTTGGTTTGGCCACACCCGGCTCCAGAATAGAGAGCATCCTCATGTCTCTCCCCCTCACGGGCAGGTAGCTACACACACACACACACACACACACATACACACACATACATCAGTGACAGTTTAATGAGCTGTCTGTGTTACCAGGTGATGTAAACACTCTTCATCCTCAGGTGGGAGTACATGCACGAGCCGACCAAAGGCTCCAGGGAAGCTGAGATGCTGAAAGTGTTACGCGACCCGAAGGAGTGGGTGTGACTCTAGGTTTGTGTACAAGTGTTGACCAAATGTGTTAACAGAAGTGTTAACTCATCGGGAAATTTTTTAACCTGCATCAGAATTTTTTTTTTTTAAATCAGCCTGTTATGACATAATTTATCACCAATATATTTAATCATTCAGAATTCTGAGTGAAAATTAAGTCTCAAATAATGCTACCTGATTTCACTGTGTTTGTGTGACATGTAAATAAATCTGTTTTTTTTTTTGATGATTCTATTCTATCTCCTATGTTTGACTTGTAACTACAGTGAACTCATCATCTTCATCTTGAATCCTCTGCAGGGTCAGTGGGCGAGCTGGAGTCGATCGTGGTAGTGTTTGTGCGTTGGCAGGTTAAACTCTGGACCGTCGACCAGTCCAAAGCGTCACCTACAGAGATAAACAACCATTTTATAATGTTTTATTACAAATTAATTCAAGCATTTGCAGATAATGACTTGTAACAAGTTCTTTTGCTTTAAAGTATAACATTTTGTCGTTTTGATAAGGCATTGTAAAAACAGGGCTCTGTAAGTAATAGTTCTTCTGACCAAACTGAAACACCTTTCACACCTCAGTTCAAGGTCGAAGCAAGTGCTGAGGTTCAACTCAAAAAGAGAACTAACCAGTGCGGAAGTTTCTGAGGTGTAATGTGACATTTTTGTCAGTCAACGTCAGAGGCTGTGATAAGCATTTGGCTTCAATTGCATAAAGATTGTGAACTCGTCTTCTTCCACAGGATTACGCTGCTGCTCTTCAGGTCGCTCTGAACCTGTCAATCATCACCTTTTTAAACACAAAGTGCCGTCTTAGATTCACAACTTGGCAACTACGTACGTCCATTTAGTATCACTGAGTTTCCTATCAGGTATAATCAATCTCATTATTATACACACACTGTACATATTTATACACAGCTACTTTACAACTGAACATAGACTCTGTCCATCTACGGTGACACTTCACCAGCTTAGCTCCTCCTACTCTCACCCCCCCCCCCCTGTAAGTTTGTCTCTATTGCCTCCTGTCCCGTATTTCTGTGCAAGTCACTTCAAAATTAACACTGAGCTGCAAACCTATTTAAAGAATCCTTGGTGTGCTTTCAACAAAAAAAATACCACAGCAAACAACTATAAGCAGCACATTTAACACACTTACAGATGCTTAAGCAGAGTTTTTTTTTTTTTTTCACAGTTAAAGCAGGTTCTGAGCAACCATCAGCGGCCCTGACCTGGACGAGAACCAGGGAGCATTAAACAAGAGGTGGCCAACATTTAGTGTTCAGAACGAGCTGCATGCATTACTAAAATAAAAAGCTCACATTCAGATATGTAATTTAGCAGCTCGTATAGAATCTGTGACCTTCACAGAAACATTCGAGTGAACTAACGTTGGGCCAGTGCTTTATTTTCTGGTCTAATGCATCTAAAATAAACAGCAGTAACTGTGTTTAGAATACGTTCATCTAATCAGCTTCATTTGCTGCTCAATGGCGTTCCTAAGTGCATGTGTCAGCCATGAAAATAATAAATGTTGCATATGCAAGACCATGTCAAGATGAAGACTAAGGTCTATCAGTGGAAGAAATGATTCAAACATTTAACAGAGCGCAGCAGAAGCTTACGTCAAGTGTCTATGGTGCAAAGATTTTAGCCAATAATAAAGCACTGGTCCAACCCCTGTGGCCAATAACAGACCTAACGGGTTTATCCTTCAGTTGAACGCAACATTTGGTTTGTTTGCGTAGTTAAGGGATTTGCAACATAAACCATAGAGTGACGGGTGGAACAGCTTCAGACCTGGTTCTACGGAGAGTCCATCCTGAGTGATCCGATCACGTGTGACTGCAACTGTTGACCACGTGACCTCTTTTTGTAATTCTTGTTCAATTGTCATTTCATATGAGAACAGCGTTAAGGCTACGCCTCTCTGAATTAGAAGAACTGTGGGAACAGACACTAATCACACAATTTCATGCCGTTCTACTCGACAGTCCTCTAACGTTACACCACTGAAAAGCAGGTAATTATGGTTTCTATTCTTTTCCACTACAAACAAGTCAGCCAGTCGTTCCCACTCTTTGGTTTTACATCTAGCTGCTCGCACAATGGGTTGGGTTAGCACTGTGCTAGGCTAACTGCACTCACATGGTGCAGTAAATACACACAAACAAATGTTAAAACCTTATTCTGTTTGCATTAGAAGGGCTTTAAACTATAGTTTTGTTGTCTTTGCCAACAGAGCGAGGGAGGCCAGCTCCAGATCCTCACGTGGTCACAGAAGCAAAACTGGGACACGTTTCAAAGCCAGGTGGGAACAGCTGCTCCTGTACTTTAACACTGGGATCACTCAGAACAGATCTGTAATACCAGGTCTGAATTGGACCACTGATTCACTGCCAGAAAATTCAGTAGAATTGTCGCTCGGTATCGGTGCTGCGGTCATTTGATCGTTCCTGCCATCACATCACCTCACTAAATAAAGGTTAGTGCAAAATTCAGCAGCGCTGACTCATGCAAATATTGCATTATTCCACAGTACAGTTGTTACTGTTTCTTGTTTGTGTGGGATAAGGAAGGCTGGTGACATCACAAGAGTAGAATTGCTACATGATGAGATCTTAGTGGAACTCGGGGCTTTTGTTAGAGCGTTGGCGAAAGGCAGGTTTACGTCCCATGGCCAGTGACGCTACTGCTGCTGGTGGTGGTGGTGGTGGTGGTGACTATGTCCTCGTACTGTGGAGGCGGCTCCGTCTCGATCTGCACATCCGTATGACCTACAGCCTCTTCGTATGAGGGCGGTGGGTCTCCAGCACTTCCTCTGACTGATGTGATCTCCGAGCCTGGATAAACTGGGCTGCTGTGGCCGCTGAGTTCTGATTGGTCACCGTGGTGGTAATCTCTCCCCCAATGGTCCATAGAGACTACCGACAGGACGTGGTCGTGATGAGAAGAGTGTCCCAAGCTGGGGCTGCGTCGAGAGCGTTTGCGGGAGTGGCAGCGCCAGACCGTGATGCCGACGGTGGCGATGATGAACAAGATCAGCAGCAGCGGCACGATCAAGTAGAGAGAGTGGACTCCACCCACCACGGTCTCCAGCCCTCCAGACGGACTACTCTCACGGACATATTCCTCCCAGAACCGCCTCTGCAGTTCAAAAACAAAGACACTCAGTTCAGATAAGTAAGTAAACAAAGACACTCAGTTCAGATAAGTACTGGGAAGAAATATTGAATTTTAAATTTAAAACAACCAACAGAGACCCTTTAATCTGCAGAAAATATAACTATAGCGTTACATAAATATGAACTACGGACCTTATTTCTACCAACCTTAACTGTTGTGATTGATAGATAAATGATAGCAGCAGGAAAATTATTGATGATAAGACGGCAGATAGGACTAAACCTAGATGTGTTGTATAAAACTGGAGACAGTCACATTCTTGTTTGTCGTTTCTATGTCCAATTACAGTGGAAGATCGGCACACATGACTGTCAGCCTGAGGTCTTCATGACCCAACTAACACTGTGAAGACAAAGGCAACTTTATCTGCTTTTTTGTTTTGTCCTAATATTTTAAAACTTTTTATATTTTTTATTTAGCTCCTATTTGAAAGTGCTTTACAGTAAAGGAGGTCATGTGTTGTGTTCTAATACGATTTTTTTCTCTCACCGTCTTTTCATCATTCTCAAAGGCCTCGCGGGCCTCCTCGTAGGTACAGATCTCCTCACGGCATTCCCTCTGGATATTGCCCTGCTTCAGCTCCTCCAGCATGAAGTTAGCCCTGCGCAGCCGCCGCAGCACAGAGTGGGCCGTGTCCGCCGGCAGGAACACTGAAAGGATGAAAAACAGGAAGAGACTGTGCATGATGTGAGAGACGCCGGAGGCAAAGATGAAAGACTGCATTAAGGAAGAGGGATGGAAATGTTGCAAAATGTAAATGATAAAAGGTGAAAATGGAGATTACAAAGAAAAGAAGGCAGAGGCACTGAAGACAAACTGACTTGGAACACAAGACTTTGAAAAGTGGACACAACATTCCCTGAAAATAGCAGACATGCTCGAGATTTTGAAAGTTCCAGATCATTGTGAATGTGACTGAGGAGGAAAACATCCAACCCTCGTGAAAAGGAAACAGGCAACAGCAGGCTGTGAGTAACAAAACAACTTTACTTTGAGTGTTTAAAGAATGAAGACTGAAACTTCTGTGAAGGTTTTTACACTTACCACTGCCCATGGTTCCTGCAAGTCTGTTAAAGACGATTTATCTAAAGGAACGAGAGAAAGAATTTTTTACCTGTGTTGTGAAAATTCAGAATTCTCTGTTTATGAGCTTTGGTAGATTAAAAATTAGTCACTTAAAAAACAAACACATCTGATCAGTGCTCACAACTCAAGACAATCTGGTCATCCTTTGTGACACAAGTCACAGTCACCTGACAACAACCTCCAACCAGGTTCACACAAAAAAGGGGGCATTTTTCAGGTTCTGCTCTCTGTCATTTACTGTCATCTAGAAAATGGGAGAACTTGTAATGGACCAAACAATTATACAACTAAAACTACCAATAATATTATTTTATATTTACACACTAATTAAGACATGTTTGAGAATCAATACCTTTGCGTCTATGATCCAAACACACAACTGTCAAATCGAATTATTAAATTATTTATTTATTTAGTATCAGTTCAACCGCTACATCAGAAATGTTAATTGAAAAGGTGACGATGTTGTTCCAGTAACAGGGCGTAGCTGTGTTGTGTTGACCACTGACTGTATGTGACGGTGACCAATGGCGGCTGCAGGCCACAGCTACACATGGAGGTGTTGTGTGTGTGTGTGTGTGTAGGCTCCTGACATCCTCCTCCCTTCTTCTGAAAATAGATCCCCTCCCCAGCCGCGGAAGGCGTCGCCGCCTGGTTACTGATTTCTTTTTCTTTTTTTTTTTCTTTTTTTGCCCCTTGGTTTTCTTTTTCTCTCTCTTTTTTTTACACCATTTAAAATTAAAAACAATTAGAGGAAGCCTCGTTATAATTGAGTCCAAAGCTCCACTGCGGCTGCGGCCGGTGATGTTCTAACGGAGCGGACAAACGAGGTTTGACAAACGCTGATTTGTGGGATCGGCGCGCGGCGCTTCAGGCTCGAATGTTATTGAGAAGAAACGCATAATTTGAAAAAAAAAGTCCGCTGTTTAATGTGACAAAAAACCAGCACATGCCAAAAGTGTTGAGAAGTTTAACATAAATAAGCTTCATTAGTGTCACTCACCTTCTTTTGTCTCTGTACTGCGTATAAATGTTTTCGAGTCTCATCCGCTGCTCGAGGCTGCAACGCATGCGCACTGTGGTTTGTGTTTCATGGCCTGGCCCTTCCTTTCTCTTAAAGAGACAGTACACAGTGACCCGAGATGGAGACCTTCTGAGTGTGGTCATCATTGACCTTTGTTACGGTTAGTTTCAGCCACATCGAGTAAGAAAAAAAAA